GGCCCCAACAAGGACTGAAAATCAAATGTTGATTGAGGAATAAGCAGGCAACAGGCAGGGCAAGTCAATGGAAGCCCACAGCACTCTCTACCTGACATTTTCCAGACACAGGCATACGAAATCTTTCCTTTTCTTAACTGCCACAAAGCAAACATGATGATAAACAGCAACTGATATATATTGGGAACTGGAGAAAATTCTCACATCAAAATGAGGCAGCCACTTCCCAAGCAAAGAACTGTTCTGCAGAGCAACCCTGGGTCCCAGATTGCTGGCTCCTCCCATTTTCCCACAAAAGCAAGAAATATCAACTTTCACGTGAAATCTCCCTTATGAGTGTTAGCAATTAACTTAAAAAGTAATTTTAAGTTTGTGTACATCAAATAAGACATCTATGATCAGGCCGGGCGCGGTGGCTCACGCCTGTAATCCTAGCACTCTGGGAGGCCAAGGTGGGTGGATCATTTGAGCTCAGGAGTTCAAGACCAGCCCAAGCAAGAGCAAGACCTTGTCTCTACCAAAAATAGTAAGAAGTTAATTGGACAGCTAAAAATACATAGAAAAAATTAGACGGGCATGGTGGCACATGCCTGTAGTCCCAGCTACTTAGGAGACTGAGGCAGAAGGATTGCTTGAGCCCAGGAGTTTGAGGTTGCTGTGAGCTAGGCACTCTAGCCCGGCAAAAAAGTGAGACTATGTCTCAAAAAAAAAAAAAAAAAAAGATATCTATGATCACCCTGTCATATGTTTGTTTATTGATTTGTAACTGCTACCTACTAAACATGAAATTCTGGAAAGCAAAAATCTGTCTTCTGGCCGGGCGCTGTGGCTCACGCCTGTAATCCTAGCTCTTGGGAGGCCGAGGCGGGCGGATTGCTCAAGGTCAGGAGTTCAAAACCAGCCTGAGCAAGAGCGAGACCCCGTCTCTACTATAAAATAGTAAGAAGTTAATTGGACAGCTAAAAATACATAGAAAAAATTAGACGGGCATGGTGGCACATGCCTGTAGTCCCAGCTACTTAGGAGACTGAGGCAGAAGGATTGCTTGAGCCCAGGAGTTTGAGGTTGCTGTGAGCTAGGCACTCTAGCCCGGCAAAAAAGTGAGACTCTGTCTCAAAAAAAAAAAAAAAAAAAAAATCTGTCTTCTTCGACTCTCTCTTATCTGTCTTACTTCGACGCCTGGGAAGTAACTGGAACATAGTAGTAGATGCTCAGTTATTTGTTCAACAAGTAAATAAAACAGAAACAAATTTTTAAAAAGATATTAGCAAATAAAAGAATATTTAGAATCAAAAATGTCCCAGGAAATGTTTCGCTTTTGGTTCCCGAAACACAGGCATTCAACAGACTCAAAGCCAAAGCAATCCTTTCAAAACAGTAGATCGACTAGGCGAGGTGGCTCACGCCTGTAATCCCAGCACTCTGGGAGGCCGAGGTGGGCGGATCATTTGAGCTCAGGAGTTCAAGACCAGCCTGAGCAAGAGTGAGACCTCGTCTCTACCAAAAATAGAAAAAATTAGCTGGGCATGGTGGCGCATGCCTGTAGTCCCAGCTACCTGGGAAGCGAGGCTGAGGCAGGAGGATTGCTTGAGCCCAGGAGTTTGAGGTTGCTATGAGCTAGGCTGATGCCACGGCACTCTAGCCCGGGCAACAGAGTAAGACTGTCTCAAAACAAAACAAACAAACAAACAAAAACCATTAGATCACATCTCTCCTCTGCTCAAACCTTTTCATGACACTATCTCACTCAATTAAGGCCAAATTTCTTACCACAGCCTTCAAGAGCCTGTATGATCTGGCTCTTATTTCTTTGTGGCACTGTGCTCATCCAGCCAAACTGGACCCCAAGTTTCTCCTTGAACATGGTAGACACACTCCCAACTTTGCACTGGCTGGTGCCCCTTACTGGAACATTCTTCTTCCAGATATCCACATGACTCACTCCCTCACCTCCAACAAGTCTTTTTTCAAATGTCACCCTCTCAGACTCATCCTGATCCCCCTATTTCAAGTGCAACCAGGACTCCCTATTCCCCTTCTCTGCTATACTTTCTCCACTGTCTTCTAACTTACTACATGGTTTATTCATCAGTTATGTTTGCTTACGTTACCAAGGGTAGAGATTTAAAAATCTGTTGTTTACTGGTTGTAGCCCCAAAGCAAAGAATTATACCTAACACGTAGCGGACACTACAAATATATTAATATTTCTGGAATGACTAAACATTCCTAAAAATAAAAACAACTAATAGTGAGTGCTTATTGTAGTCACACGCAGCAAACTTTAAAATCATCACCTGTTATCTCACTGTACCTGGTGCATCCCTGGCCTCCAGAAACTACTGGTCCCTCTGCATGACTTTGACTTGCTTACTTCTCTGTCTCTCCCGACAATCTGGAAGCTCCCAGAAGCCAGAGCCTGTAGTGAACCCCCAAGGGCTCCCACAGGGGCCTTTCTGTCCGGGGTCCTGTTACCTGGCGCAATGCCTCCCCTAGAGCCCCTTCCACAGACCTCGGCCTCCTCGCCATCACTGCTGCGCTCGCTGTCCTCCTCTTCGGAGAAGTTGCTATCCTCGCTGTCGGACATCTTCCCCTTCTGCAGGGAAAGACAGCGTGCTCAGTGAGTCCCACGATCTCGAGATCCACCCCGAGACTCAGTTTATCCGCCGGTTCCCAGGGTAAAGATAACCCCTTAGCGCACTTCCGGCAGCCTCGTTTTGGCAATCGTGAACCCAAGTGGGACCCCCAACACTCCCTGTTGCACCTCCCGAGTCTCCTTATCCGGTCTCTACACCGCCCCGGCTCCTGGCGGACCCCGGAACTGCCACCTCTGCAACCCCTCTCACCACTCGGGTGCCCCCTCCACCTTAGGTACTAGCTGCTGTTCGCACGACGCCTGGCTGGGACAGATGGGTCGTCTCGCGAGAACCTACTCGTTGGCCTCACCTAACGCGAGACTTCAGGAGCTGGCCCGGGAAAAGCACTTCCGGGTCGACGCCATCTTGAGAGAGGCAGGGCCGGCGGACGCAGAGAGCGGAGCCACCATCTTGTGAGGGTCAGTAGGGGCAAAGTTTCTTTGCCCCGCGGACCCGGCTTCTTCGAGCCTGGAATTCGTGGCTTGAATTTACTGAGCCATTTATTCGTTAGTCCAGACCACTAACGCGGTGTGCCAAGCCATGAGGACTCAGGGAATTAGCAAATTATAACAAAATAACAAATAAATCAGACTCTAACTCATAGACCCTCTAAAACATCCCGAGGAGACAGGCATGCCCGCTTTGCAGAGGACACTGAAGCTCAGAAGAATAAACCAAGTGAAGAGCGGCAGACCCGAGACTCAAGGTCGAGTGACCCTGAAGCCCATGTTTTTCTTTCCAGTCTCCCTAAAAGTTCATTTAAAGGTGAATTTATGTTTTAGTAATGATGTGTCAGAGCGGCGGCAAAGAGGACAGATGTACAGGAGACCGAGGAAAAATTAACCTGCTGGAATGGAAAAAAAATCAGAAGCCTTTACAACACAGCTAAAATCTCTCCCATAAACTACGAGACACCTGGATTCAATTTACAGAAATTCTTGTTTGTGGTTTTGTTTTCCTTTAAGAGGGAGGGAGCTGGGGGGGGGAGTGTTGTCCAGGCTGGACTCCAACTCCTGGGCTCAAATGATCCTCCTGCCTCAGCCTCCCTAGTAGCTGGGACCGTAGGCGCACGCCACCACGCCCCATTTACAGACATTTACTACGTACCTACATCCTACTACAGAGGAATAGGATGCGGTTGGGGCGGAGGCTCACCAGCTACCAGGAAAAGGACATACCATAGGTGCTTCTTCCCATAAACACGCACTTTTCGACCCAACAATCCCAAATTGAGCCCAAGATAGATAAGGAAAGCGTGGACAAGCCACAGAAATGTGTTTCCCCTTCTATAAACTTGGCTCCTTTAAATAGCTCTCTAAAATAGGATTTGGCATATGAAATGACTAATGGGCACTGCCCTGCCACAGAAATGCATTTACCCCAGGAAAGAGAGGGAACAGTTACGAGAAAGAGAGAGACAAACTACTGGTACACACATGAATGAATCTCCAAAACATTATGCTGAGTGAAAGAAGCCAGACACCAGGATATGTGCAGTATGAGTCCATTCATGAGAAACTCTAGAGCAAGCAAAACCAATCTATGCAGACAGGAAGCAGATTAGTGGCTGTCTGGGGCCGTAGGTGGAGGCTGACTGGAAACGTAGCTGAAGGATGCTTTGGAGCGATGGAAATGTGGCAGTGTGTATGCATTTGTGAGAACTCATTGAAATGTACACTGAACATGGGTGCCTTTTGCTGCATGCAAATTACACCTCGGTAAAGTTTATTTTAAAAATATAGATGCTCAGGCTCCACCCGAGACCAGTTATCAAATTCTCTGGGCTGGGGTCTGGCAATCAGTATGACTCGAAAGTTCTCCAGGTGGTAATTATTTGCAGCCAGGGATGTGAGCCACAGGACTCTCCCTGTCCTCAAGGGATGGGGGTGAGGCTAGAGGACACCTGTGCACTGCTCTGTCCTTTCCTGGAAGAGGAGAGAAGAGGGAGTACCTGAAAAAAGAGGGAGCATGGGGACAGGTGGGAGGCAATTTATCCAACCCCTTTCCCAGGAGGACAGAGACTTCAGATGTCACCTTATTTTCCTCCTTCTCACCTCTTCCCCTTGGGTCCTGGGGCTCCAGGTGGGGTCCTCTGGCCTAGAAGGAAGGGAAGGGTTCAGGAGGTGGGGCTGGAGACCAAATTTTATCCCCCTCTCTCCACCCAGCCTCTCCAGAGTACCTGGGAGTCTAGGTCCTTCAGGGCTCATGCCGTGCGAAGGTGCCGAGCACAAGCTCCCTGTAATAACTCCAAGAGTTTGGCCAGGAAGCGGGGGACAGGTCTCTGGGGATGTCCTTCACAAGGCAGGCAAGGCCCCTGGCTGGCCACCCACAGCCGGGACCCCAGGGCATCCAGCAGGCGCTGTAGCCGGAACACAGCAGTCCCCACAGATGGGCCCTCCTCAAACCCAATCACAGACAGCTCCAGCCTGAAGCAGCCTAGAGTCTCAGCAGGACACACCTGTGAGGACAGAGTGACCTGGTGTCTCCTACCAAGGGCCTGATTCCAAATGCCTGCTCCCCAAGGTTTCTTGTGGCCTGGAACAAGCCCCTTCATTTCTCTGGGTCTCAGTTTCTTCATCTGTAAAATGGAGCTCGTGGCCTGGAACAAGCCCCTTCATTTCTCTGGGTCTCAGTTTCTTCATCTGTAAAATGGAGCTCCGAATAATTCCTACTTTAAGGACTGACACTAGACCATTGTATTTGGGGGCAAGTTAGTATCATTCCTTAAGATACTTGTAAGTGCTGCTTCTATTCAAACAAGATGCCTTACTGCCATCTGCTGGAAATTGACAAACATGAAATGTACAAAATCCAGAATGTGAATACAGTACTGTCTTTGCAGATATGGGATCCTTGTGCAGTGTACAACCTTCACATCCATACATGGTGGCCCTGTCTACCTTATAGGTTTGGTGTGAAGAGTAAATAAACAGGTGCTTATTATTCCATTTAAACCAGCATCTGACACAGAGTAAGCACTATTTAACTGCAGCTATAATCAACATGATCACTACCATCATCATATCACCATCATTTGTTGTTATTAATATGTGCTAGTCACTGTTGTAGGTGCTGGAGACAGCAGGAGCTAGACAGTCGGAAAACTGCTCCCACTGCCGCTGCCTCCCAACATAGTGATGGACTCACGCACCTACTCATGCAAACAGAGCCCAGTGGGTTCTCCCTAAACTTCCAACTTCTGGGAGAACTAATGAAATACTCACCGAGAGATCATCTGGGGTGTAGAGAGTGCCGTCATTTTTGTTTCCCTATAATTGTGGGAGGAAAAGAATCAGATAAAGAGGAGAATCAGACACTGGAGGGAAAGAGCCTGACCCTTCCTCAAACATACCACCCACCCAACCCCCTCAACTGCCCCCCACCCCGCCCCGCACCAGCATCTTCATGATAGCCACAAGGAAATAAAAAGGCTCCCTCCGGCAGAGGGGGGCTCCTAGGCTCCCCCAGAGCTGCATGAGCAGGAGGATGGTCCAGAGAGGCCACATGGGCACCTTGTTCACTCCCAGGCTTTCTCTGGCCCCAGCCCAGGTTTCTGCAAGAGAGAAGAACAGAAAGAGGGAGCAGGTTGGAGGACTGGAGTAAGGGGAACTGACCCTCTCCCCTACCAGTTCCACTCAAGTCACAGATTTCCTGGCAATGTGTGCTAAGAGACCAGACAAGATGGTGACCCCAAAGCGGGCAGGGCTTAGGTCAGAGGGTTCCCTGACCCCTAAGCTCAGGGAATAAAGAAGACTGAGCAAGGGTGTGGTCAGTCTGGAGAGACTGGAGAATTTGAACTATGCCCTCCTCCCTGAAACAGGCCCGGACAGAACAGAGTGTGTGCGCACCCGTGCTAGCCATAACCTGTGTTTCCAGGTGCATATTTGGGGGCTTCTCTGCTCTTGTTTCCATTTCTATTTCTGTCTCAAGAGTATTTTAGAAACTTTGTGCTTGCCTGTATCTGTCTTTCTTTCTTTCCCTCTGAGGGTTGACTTCTCTGCCTCTGAATCTCTGTCACCGGGCTTGTTTTCTGGGTCCATCTCTGACTACTCCAGTCACTCTTTTCTCCTTCTCTTCTCTCTTGGTCCTTTTGTCTCTCCCTCTCCATGTGTGCCTACCTCTCTCTTGTGCTGTGTCTGTGTCCCCCTAGATCTGCCTCTGGGTGCTCCCTCCTTCCATCCCATAGCCCCTCTTCCTGTCTCACCCTTTTGGAGCTGGACTCTGGGCTGGAGGCTCTTCTCTGTGGCCCTAGACCTGCCCTCCAGTCTCCACCCAGTCTCCACCCTCTGTGGCCACCACACCCCATTTGAACCTTGGACCCCAGACCCTGTGCTGCCAGAGAAACTGAGGCAACTCTGGGCTCCCTCTGGTCCTACGAGAGGAGCTGCTTGGCTGGGAAGAATTTTGGGTAGGGTGGGGGCGTCTGGGGAGGAATCAGGGGACAATCCTGGGGTTCCTCAGATGGGACTTGGGGGGCTGGGGATGGAGAATTCAGTGGGGGGTGGAGCCTAGCATGGAGGGTGATATTGGGGAGAGTAGAGAGATGCTTTGGGGGATTCTGGAGAAAGAGATCCTAGGGTAGGGACCCTGAAGAGGGGAATTCTGGAGGGAGGGCTCTGAGGAGATGGGGATTCTAAGAGGAAGAAAATTCCAGGGGAGGCAGTTGCATCTGAGGAGTCTCTGAAGGGAAGTAAATTCTGGGGAAAGGTAGATTTTGAGGGACCGGGTCTTAAAGAGAGGAAGATTTTGTGAAAGGGGATTCTAGGGATGGGTTTTCTGGGATTTGCTGGGAGAGGGAGATTCTGAAGGAGGGAGATTCCAGGGGTGGTGGGTCCTGAGGAGAGGAAGATTCTGGAGAGGCTGGCTGGGGTGAAGTGGATCCTGAGTGGAGGGCGAGTCAGGGAGAAAGGAGTCTAGGGCGAGGGCTCTGAGGAGGGGCATTTGGGGATGGGCTTCTGAGAGGATTATGGCACAGAGAGATTACGACAGAGGAGACTGAGAAAGGAAGCAAATTCTGATGAAAGGCAGATTCTTGGGGAAGGGCTCTGGGGAGAAAGAATCCGGGAGAAGACTGTCGAAGGAGTTGCGTTCTAGGGGGGACAGGGTTCTGGGAATCCCGCCAGATTTCTTGCAGTGGATTCGGGAGGGAAGATTCTGATGGAGGGGGATTCTGAGAGGACGGAATCTAGAGGGGAGGAACATTACAGGTGGCGCGAGGGTGAGAACCGCTTATATTAACATTATCAAAGAGCCAGAATGCAAACGAGAGCCAACAACCACCGAGGTTGTCCACCACACGTCAGTCCTCCACACGGCTGTCCTCAGTCTCTACGCTGCATTTCTCAGGTCCCGCCCCTTCCGCCTCCCAGGTCCCGCCCTCTTTGAGCTCCCGGCGGCCTTCCCGCCGCTAATCATAGGCCCCGCCCCCTACCTACAACGTGAGCCGTAAAGCTCCATCCTGTCGCGACGCCGCGCTCAAGGCGCCTGCGCAAACCCTGAAAAGCGTTCTGGTTAGGCCTAGGCTTTCCTTTTCCGGTTGTGGAGCCGCGCGGTGAGGATCTTTAGTCCACGCCCGAAGTAACCATGCCGTCCAAGGGCCCGTTGCAGTCCGTGCAGGTCTTCGGACGCAAGGTAGGCCGGACGTCTGATGGGAGGGGTCGGCAAAGACCGGGGTCTGGGAAAAGCCTATGGGCAGGAATCTGGGGTCGGCCTGGGAGCCGGGGCCCGCCCAAATCTCACGCGGCCCGGCTGTTTCTTGTCTTCCCACAGAAAACGGCCACAGCCGTGGCGCACTGCAAACGCGGCAATGGCCTCATCAAGGTGAACGGGCGGCCCCTGGAGATGATTGAGCCGCGCACGCTGCAATACAAGGTGCTGGGATCGGGGACGGGCGTTGAGTGGAGGACTCTTGGAGACGGAGATGTAGCTCTTGGAAGTTGAAGAGAGTTGGTATCAACAGTGAGATGTTTAGAAGCTGAGTTGGAGGTGGAAAAGTAGGATATTTGGCAGTAGAGCTAGGCTTGAGAGTCAGAAGATGTAAAAACTGAGTTAAGAGACTGAAAACATGGGTGTCGAACATTAAAGGGTTGCCTTGAAACGTGGGTGATTTGGAAGCCCACCCAGCTGTAAGGACCCAGGTAGCACGGGGAACACTAGATTATGTGACCTGATGGTATGTTTTCACTCTTAGAGTATAGATTTTTCTGAAGACAGAAACCAGTGTTTTGTTTCAGACAAATCTTAAGTGTCTAAAGCAGGTTTTGGATACTGTAGGTGTTTGATAAGTATTAAAAGAACTTGAATTTGGGCTGTTTAAATGTTTGCCTGTGAAAAGGGGTTCCTTATCTCCTTATTTGGGCCTCTCGGTTTCTTTGGCTCAGAGTGGAGAGACCAGGGTCTGATTTCTGCTTGTACCTGTTATTTCATGCAAGTGATCATTTTACAGATGGTGTGGGTTCACCATCCGTAAAATGATGACAGTTTCTGTCCTGAAGCATTGTGAGAGTAAGTTAAGGTTCTTTTTGTAAGCTTGACATGTTTGAAGACGTATTCATTTCTTCTTAAAGCCCATCACTTTTAAAAGGAAAGAATATTGGCTGGTCTGATGACAGTGGGTTATCAGAACTTATTAACATTAGTGTCACTAAAGTTGGTATTCAACTCCTCCCCCCTGCTAAATTTGACTGGCTTAAAAAAAAGAAAAGAATATCTACATTGCAGGGTCAGTTAGAATTTAATAAGAAACATCTCTTTGTGTAGCAGATGTGGAATAAGTGATTTATTTTTATTGGCTGTCAGTTTATTTGAAGCATTTGTGTGTATACCCAATGGTGAGTTTGGGGGACACAGCCACAACAGTGACCCAGATGGCCCCTTGTGGAACTCGAAGTCTAGTGGTGAAGATGGACTGGACCAAATACCAGAAACTGATCCAAAGTAGTCAGGGCTGGGATGTGGATCCCAGCGAAGGCTTCAAAAAGGAGTCAGAAAGAGACCTGTGAGATGAGGCTGAAGGTCAGCAAAGCAGAACTGTCCAAGCTGGGTGTAGTGATACTTGCCTTTGGTCCCAGCTGCTGAGGCTGAGGCAGGAGTTTGAGACTAGCTTGGGCAGCACAGGGAGACACCATCTCTTTAAAAAAAAAAAGGCAGAGGTCACTGGCAAAAGACCTAGAGCTAGTAAGGGAAGGACATAGCACAGGTTGTTGTGTAATTAATTGTAATTTCTCTGCGAATTGGTGTGAGGCTCAGAGGGCAGAAAGTTCAGGTAGGGAACCCAAAAAAGACACCTGAACAGTCCAGGAATGGCTTTCCATTGTGTGAAACAGCCTTAGTGGTTGCTTTAGACTGCTCCTTGACTGTTAAGCATTCTAAGAACCGGTCTTAGAGGTGAGGAATCTGAGGTTCAGAGAGGGGTACAAGTAGGAGGGAGCCCAGATCCGGTTTCCTTTCTTGTCAATTCAACAGTCTCTTGTTTGGCTGCTTTAAATCTTCCCTTCTCCCCTTGCTCTGTAGAGGGGCCTGTGACCCACTTCCACTAGTACGTTGAGGCTGGTGGTAGCAGAAGCCACACAATAGAGGAGTGCTCAGTGAGACGGCTAAGCTGCCCAGGTTGTGGTGTAAAACTTTACTCATACTCTGTGTTCGTCTAGCTACTGGAACCTGTTCTGCTTCTGGGCAAGGAGCGGTTCGCTGGTGTGGACATCCGTGTCCGTGTGAAGGGTGGTGGTCATGTGGCCCAGATTTATGGTGAGTCTCAGGAACTGGGTGTGTGGCTCTGGGAGCAGGGCCCTAGTCTTTGGCCTTCACAAAGCTCATGTACCCTTTTATCGTGTCTTCCTTGCAGCGATCCGTCAGTCCATCTCCAAAGCCCTGGTGGCCTATTACCAAAAATGTGAGTGAGAATGGGTCCTTCCCTTTGGGTGGGTGGGTGTGTGGGGACCAAGTCAAGGACTTCCCTGTGATTATCGGAATCTCTGCCCCTACTGTCATCTTCAGATGTGGATGAGGCTTCCAAGAAGGAGATCAAAGACATCCTCATCCAGTATGATCGGACCCTGCTGGTAGCTGACCCCCGTCGCTGCGAATCCAAAAAGTTTGGAGGCCCTGGTGCCCGTGCTCGCTACCAGAAATCTTACCGATAAACCCATCACGAGGATTAGGGTTTACCTGTATAATAAAAAATGGTAGTAGGATTTTAAGGTTTTAAGGACTGTGTGTGGTCTTCTGTGGTAGTGGGTCTTTTACCAGGTGAAACACAGGAAACACCCTCAGCCTATTACCAGTCTGGATTTTAACCCTTCTCAGAAGTGATCACCCTGGGCTTAGTGTGGACAGGTAGGGGTGGCAGTGGCAGGTGGGGAGTCTCTGTCCACTTATGTCTCTGTTGAGTCTGGTGTGTAGGCAGGTCTTGGTGGATATGAGTTATTCTTGCGGGTTTGTTTGTTTTTTAGTACCTTTGCTGCTGGCATGTTAGGGACGAGCAGAAGAAATGTGTAAGATCAGTAATCTTTCAAAGATGATGAGAAACTACCTGGGTGAAATCTGTGAAGTCAGCAACTGAGGGCCATGTCTGTATTGGGAGAAGAATGTTTTTTGAGACAAAGTCTCACTTTGTTGCCTGGGTTAGAGTGCCGTGGCGTCAGCCTAGCTCACAGCAACCTCAGACTCCTGGGCTCAAGCAATCCTCCTGCCTCAGCCTCCCTAGTAGCTGGGACTACAGGCATGCACCACCATGCCCGGCTGTTTTTCTATATATTTTTAGTTGGCCAATTAATTTCTATTTTTAGTAGAGATGGGGTCTCGCTCTTGCTCAGGCTGGTTTTTAACTCCTGACCTTCAGAGATCCACTCATCTCGGCCTCCCAAAGTGCTAGGATTACATGCAGTGAGCCACCATGCCTGGCTGAGAATATTTTTTAATTTCAACCTGTAGTGTAGGTGTTAAGACCTGGGAGGAGAGGGGACCCTCAGGTTTAAGAAACCCACATTCTGCCCAGTCACTAGCCAGGCCGGGTCAGCCTGCATTTCTGTTCTTTCCCATCAGGGTCTTTGTGTATCAGTCCCATGACTGGCTTCATCCTTTAGGTGTCAACAGTACCTTCTGGTGAAAGGACCTCCCTGGCCTCCTTAAGGCAGGTCCCCATTGTGCTCAGCGTGGCAGCTTTTTCTTTATGGGGTCTGAGGACTTGTCCATCTCTTGTGCCTGCCGTGTGATACGAGCCAGTGTACAGTGAGCTCTCAGCTGCTACCAGAGGCCACCACGCCAGGCTGTACCACGTGTTTCCATCGTAGACAGTTGTGTGGCACAGCACTGGTGTGGATGTAGGGAATACCTAAAAGTGAAGTGTTGCTTGTGGAGTAAGTCACCTTTAGGTGTTTCCCCCCCTTTTTTTGTAGAAGAGGAAAGGAAAAATATCAAGAAGTAGCTTGCCCAGGGGCACACGGTAAAAGGAAGACATGGCATTCAAAACACCACATGTTGGGCGACTTCCGGGGCCCCCGCTCTTGGGGCCCCAGAACCTCGTCCACGAAAAAAACAAAACAAAACAAAACACCACATGTAGTAGCCACCAAATTGTTATTAACTGGGCCGGGCGCTGTGGCTCACGCCTGTAATCCTAGCTCTTGGGAGGCCGAGGCGGGCGGATTGCTCAAGGTCAGGAGTTCAAAACCAGCCTGAGCAAGAGCGAGACCCCGTCTCTACTATAAATAGAAAGAAATTAATTGGCCAACTGATATATATATAAAAAAATTAGCCGGGCATGGTGGCGCATGCCTGTAGTCCCAGCTACCTGGGAGGCTGAGGCAGAAGGATCACTCGAGCCCAGGAGTTTGAGGTTGCTGTGAGCTAGGCTGACGCCACGGCACTCACTCTAGCCTAGGCAACAAAGCGAGACTCTGTCTCAAAAAAAAAAAAAAAAAAAAAAAAAAAAATTGTTATTAACTGACCAACGCTTAAGTGCACATATAGTAACATTGAATGTCGGAGAGGAGGGTATATTCATACCTATTGGGTACAGTGTGCACCATCCGGGAGGGGGTCACGCTTGAAGCTCTGACTTGGGCAGAGGCAATATATGTAACCTAAACATTTGTACCCCCATAATATGCTGAAAGAAAAATAAAAAGTGGCATTGAGGCTTGGTACGGTGGCTCACACTTGTAATCCTAGCACTCTGGGAGGCGGAGATGGTAGATTGTTTGAGCTCAGGAGTTTGAGACCAACCTGAGTAAAAGTGAGACCCTGTCTCTACTAAAAATAGAAATTACTTGGACAGCTAAAAATATATAGGAAAACCCAGGGCAGGGTGTGGTGGCTCATGTCTGTAATCCTAGCACTCTGGGAGTCCGAGGCAGGCGGATAGCTCAAGGTCAGGAGTTCGAAATCAGCCTGAGCAAGAACGAGACCCCATCTCTACTAAAAATAGAAATTAATTGGCCAACTAAAAATATATAGAAAAACAGCCGGGCATGGTGGTGCATGCCTGTATTCCCAGCTACTAGGGAGGCTGAGGCAGAAGGATTGAGCCCAGGAGTTTGAGATTGCTGTGAGTGAGGCTAAAGCCACAGCACTATAGCCCGGGGAACAAAGAAAAAAAAAAAAGTGGCATTCAGACAGGTATTTGAATTGTGGAAGAACCCAGGTTCTTAGCTCTATGTTAGGCTGCCAGAGATCCGCCCAGGATCCCCCATCCCTGCCATATGGCCCTCAATTTGGGGAGAGTGCCCAGGGTACCCCACTTAGGGGAAAAGCAGAGGGGGCTGTGGGACCCACAGTGGTACTTGACCTAGCCTGGAGAGGTCAAGTGGCCCACCCTCCTTGAGAGAGGACATCTGAGCCAGTATCTGGTAGAGTAGGAAATAAGCTGGGAGACCATGTCTTGTTGACTTTGGTTTTCTGATGTTTATCTCCTTACTTATTGGCTTCCCTTGAGCCCCTGTGCTGATTTGAGGGCATTGCAATGACTACAGCGCATTTCTCTTTCCCAAGAAGTCACAAACAACGGAAAAACTGCTGGAGTAGGAGTTGGGCAAGAAGTCCTCACTTGATGTCATGGATAGATTCTTGGAAACTGCAACTTTAAGCAAAACATGAACATCAGGTCCTAGAACAACAGTGGTTTCCTTCAGTGTTGTTTCATCATAAGGAGGGAAAAAATGGTTTCATTATACAAATTTTCACTTAAAGTCACAGTTTCCAAACACCCATGGATGTTAAGTGAGCCTGTTGCGAAGTGCTGCGCTGGAATGTTGATTGAGGAAGAAAGTTTTACAACTTGAGACTTTCCATGCACTTGCCCTGTTTGTATGTATCTACGCTACTTGATACAATAGCCACAGAGGCCAGGTATGGCTACCACCCCGGACCACACTGACGACTGAACAACTCCATCATGGAGGAAAGTCCTAGGGGACAGCTCTGATTGGAGGAAACGCAAAAGTAAAGGAGAGGGTCATGGTGCACGAACTGGGTGCTAGGCTGTGTTGCTGGATGTATCTACATCTTTGTGAGCTTGGTGAGTGGGCGTCCCCGTATTATCTGAGAAAACCCCTACTAGCAAAATGTTCTGCAGCTTGCCAAGTTTTGCACTGGAGCTGCAGTTAACTTGGGTTAACTAGGTTTAGCTGGCATTAACCTGAATGTCCCAGAGAGCAGCAGGCACCACCCATCCTTTTTTTTTTTTTTTTTTTTGAGACAGAGTCTCACTTTGTTGCCCAGGCTAGAGTGAATGCCATGGTGTCAGCCTAGCTCACAGCAACCTCAAACTTCTGGGCTCAAGCAATCCTGCTGCCTCAGCCTCCTGAGTAGCTGGGACTACAGGCATGCGCCACCATGCCCAGCTAATTTTTTCTATATATATTAGTTGGCCAATTTTTTTCTATTTATAGTAGAGACGGGTCTCACTCTTGCTCAGGCTGGTTTCGAACTCCTGACCTCGAGCGATCCGCCTGCCTCGGCCTCCCAGAGAGCTAGGATTACAGGCACACCCTTGTCCTTTTTGAGCCTGATTTGATTGTAGCTCTAAAGATGATTGGGCTGTCACTGGGGCAGGCCAGCAAGAAAGGTAATTCCTGAGGAGGTGGTGGAACTGGAGGGAGGGGCGGGCCTGGCGCCTGCGGTTCTCCCAGAGGGTCCACAGACCCCCTTATTGAGGCTCCTGGCTCCCTCCCAGGGCCACAGCTGGGACGCATCTGCAGAGGGGGCTCGCCTCTCCTTCCCCACTCCAGGCCTTGGAGGAGACGGCCCCTTCTCCCTCCCTGCCTCCTCAAATACCGGGAATTCCGGCGCCGCTGGGAGCCCGGGCCAGGCTGGGAACTTTCCTTCAGCAGGGAATGTGCAGCTGGAGGCGGCTGGGAATGCGCAGCTGGGGACGGAGGAGGGGAGGGCCGGCCTGGGTCCTGACCTCAGGAGGCTGCAACCACGGAGTCCTCACTTCAGGCTGAGGAGTCCACCTCAGCCACGACAGGGCCCCAGGACTCAGCCCAGGCCCTGGTGCACAGTAGCCAGCAGTAAACAATGAGTAGACACCAGCAGCTGACGTTTGTGGAGCCAGGCCTGTGTGGGCCACCGTCCTCAGCTGAGCAGCAGAACCCCCTGGGCCCACGGAGCACCGACCTACAAACATCAGGCGGGCAAGGCTGCATTCCCTCTTGTGTCCCCAGTGGCAAGAACACCAGGGACAGGATGCACAAACTGGAGAGCACAGACCTGAGCCAGCCTGTGTGGATTCCAGTCCCAGCTCTGCCCCTGCCAGCTGTGCGACTGGGCAAGTTCCTTTTCTGCTCTATGCCTCAGTTCCCTCACTTGAGGATTAAGGCTGGGCACGGTGGCTCACGCTTGTAATCCTAGCACTCTGGGAGGCCGAGGCAGGAGGATCGCTCAAGGTCAGGAGTTTGAGACCAACCTGAGCGAGACCTCCCATCTCTACTAAAAATAGAAAGAAATTAATTGGCCAACTAAAAATATACAGAAAAAATTAGTCGGGCATGGTGGCGCATGCCAGTAGTCCCAGCTACTCGGGAGCCTGAGGCAGGAGGATTGTTTGAGCCCAGGAGTTTGAGGTTGCTGTGAGCTAGGCTGATGCCACAGCATTCTAGCCCAGGCAACAGAGTGAGACTGTCTCAAAAAACAACCCATCCTCACTTACCTTTTAGGGCTGTTGTGAGGACTCACAGCCAGTAAGTTCATATAAAGTGACTGTAAACTCATATGTCGTTAGTACTCAATATAACTCAGCTTTTTTGCTGTTAGCCGATTGCTAAATGTTCCGGTCCCTAGGCTCTTGCCCTGGAGGTTCTGATTCGGTAGGTTGGGACTAGATCCTGTAGGTCTGTGATTAGACCGATGACTCTCGTGTCGCAGGAAACACACTTGGGAAGCGAGAGCACACGCTCACTGAACCCTTACGATGCTCCTACGAGGCAGGAGCTCTTGTCCCCATTTTGTAGATGAGAAAACAGATTCAGAGGGAGGTCACACACCGAATAAGTAAAAAAGATGGGACTCAAATTCGTAGCTAAGACATGGGGGAGCTTGAGAATTCCAGGGGAAGATTAAACAGAAAATGTGCTAAACCACAAGAGGTTAGGTGTTTGATGCAGGCTAGTATCACCAAAGAAACTGCTTAAATTATGCTTCTCACTGGGCATAGCACTGCTGGAGCAAGGAGCAGAAGGATCCCAACATAAAAGCCTTTTGTCTCTACGGACCTCAGTTATGTGCAGGGGAGGGGGCACGTGGAGGAACTGTAGAGGCCTCAAACGGGGGGGGGGGAGAGTGACGGATCTGATGCATGTAGGTGGGCACAAGAATTGGGATATTCATGAGCATGGGGGCGAGGGTTGCCAAGGGAAATCGGACAGATGTGGGACGGACTTTTCCCTAAACTCAAACCTGATCCACCCTGCTGTTAGCAAGGGACAGTCTCTGAAGGAAAGTAGTACCAAGACCCAGAAGAATCCAATTAAGGAGGGGTGGCTTTAGAGATGGCTGGGTGGATGGACTGGGAGATGGTTGGGTGAATGAGGGGTATGGAGCTAGTATGGAAACTGAACAGATGGATGAATGGACACAGAGTAGGGAAGGAGGGATGGATGGCTGAATGGAGGGTGCTGGGTGAAGATGGTGGGGGATGGGAGAGGGATGGATGGACTGATGGAGGATGGAATGCTGGATGGGGTCAGGATGATGGACGGATAGGGTAGAGACAGCTGGACAAGCAAGGAGATGGGTGAGATAACAATCAGAAGAAGGATAGGTGGACGAAGGGGAGAGAGATGGCAGGACAGCTGGATGGACACATGAAGAGATGGCAGGGGCGGGGGCGGGGGCAATGACTGGGTGGGCACATGAACTGCTAAGGGAGTGAATTTCCAGGGGTCTACTTTGCCTTCCTGGATGTACATCAGTCCAGCAGTTCACAAACCCCGTGAAACCATATACCCAATTGTACAACTTGTAGTGGGTCCACTTTCTAATCATTCTTAAAGGAGTTTGAGATTCCCAGATTTCCAGAACCACTGATTTGTTCTTTGTCAGACCTTCCCATTCCTTGTCATCTCCCGCCACCACCTCCAGAATGGAAAATACTCGTAATTCCACATTTATGAATGAATAAGATATTAATGACATCCCCTTCCCCACCCTGCTGTATCAAGGCAAAAAGGGCCATTCACCAAGGCAGATACCCGGACCTGCGGCAACTTTTAGACCTGTGTTCAGTGTCGGGACATCTGAGTGAAGTTCTGAGGGTCTGTGGCATCTGGCTTGCGTCCTCGCTTTCTGGGAAGTCTCGTGTCCCCACTCACGTGTGGAAAGGGGCATCCGGAGCCCCCTGTGCCCTGCGAAGGCCCACGGATTCCTGGGTGGGGGCCAGGAGAGCAGGGTGGTTCAACCTGACCTGGGCCTTGGCTGGCCGCAGCCGCCCCCCGCCCCCCACATGGATGCTGACCGTGGTGGCGTAGCTGAGCCGCCGGGCTGGGGGTGGCGGGGGCTGGGGTTGGGGTGGTGGCGAAGGTGCCCGGGACGTGGGGGCAGAGGAGGACCAGGGGCCCCGGGAGGCCTCTCCCCCAGGCCCCTGCCGCCGAGCCAGGCTCTGGCTGATATACGAAGCCGCCAGGTATCTGGAGAGGGCAGCTGCGTTGGGGCCGAGGAGCTGGCGGCTGGGGGGCGGGGGGCTCTGGGGCGGGGTCAAGTCTGAAGACTCTGACCTGGCGACATGGGAGAATGAGTGGCCTCCTGGTTTGGACAAAGCCACAGTGGTCTGAACTGGGCCGGGGCACAGGCCCTGCGTGTCCAGAGAGCCTCCTTGCTCAGGTAAAGGCATGGCAGCCAGAACGGGGACATTTGTGAGGCTCTTCTGCTCCCGCAAGGGTGTGAGTTTTTGGACCTGTACATCTGAGAGGCTTTGCTCCTGAAGCAGAGGTGCAACAGCTGGACTCTGGGTGTCTGGGAGGCCTTGTGGTGGGGTCAAAGGTGTGACAGCTGGAGCCTGAATGTCTGGGAGGTCTTGGGGCGAAGACAGTGTGGTGTCGGCTGGGATGTGATGGTCGAGGTGGCTTCCGTGTGCAGGTGATGGTGAGGTACCGTGAACCTGAATGTCTGGGAGGTCACGTGGCAAGGGCAGTGGGGCGCGGGCTGGGATCTGAGGGTGCAGGCTGCTTCCACCCATTAGTAGAGGGCTGATGGCGTCACCGCAGACGGTGGCTGGGTCCTCAACATCCCTGGAACCTTGCTCAGTTACTGGGATGCTGGTTGTGCTCGGACTGTCTAGGTGGCCTTCCTGCTTGGGCACTGGTACAGCGGCTGAAACCAGGACATCAGAACAACTCTGCACGGGCAAAGCTGCGGTGGCTGGAACTTGGCTGTCCACGTGGTGTCCCGGCTCAGGCAAAAAGGCGGTAGGTGGAACCTGTACATCCATGTGGCTTCCACACTCAGGCAAAGCGGTGGTAGCTGGAACTTGGATTTCCAAGTGGCCCTGATCAGACAAAGTGGTGACAGCTGGAACCTTGCTGTCTGGGGGGCCTTCCTGCTTGGGCAACGGGGTGGTGTCTGCAGCCTGGGTATCCTGCAGGCCTCCGTGCTCGGGCAAAGGGGTGGTAGCAGGAACGCGGATACCCAGTTGGTCTTGCTCAGGCAAATCTGAAACATTCAGACCCTGGCCATCCAGGCAGCCTCCCTGCTTGGACAAAGGTGTGGCAGCCTGAACCTGGGCAGCAGGGCCCAGGGGGACAGATTCCTGAGCACAGGTCAGCGGGAAGGCCAGCTCACACACCAGCACGTGTCCAAAGGCAGGCAGGGGCCCTGTATACAAAAAGAAGATCGAGTCAGGACTGATGCCCACAGCTTGGGCCACCCCTGCCAACCACATAGCCAGACCTCACCTGGCTCAGCCTGCTCCTGGGACAGGCAGGGGGATGGCTGGGGTTGGGCGAGAACCCGCGGCCGGCGGCGGGGGGCGTTGGCTGATGCCCGCGTCTCCGCTCGCTGCATCTGCTGGATCCGCTCGCTGTAGAGCCGGGCCAACTCTCGCACCCGGGACGCTGCCCTCTCCGAACTCGGGGCTCCTGCCTTCCCACTCCTGCTGTCTCCACCCAGATCCGAATCCTCCAGGATCAGCAGTGGCTCTGGGAAGCCTGGCCGGGCCAGCTGTCCCTGCTCCAGTGCCTGCCAGGCGCTCCGGATTTCTGAGCAAGAGCGGAATTCCAGCTCCTCTGGGAATCCCTGATGTCGGCTGCTGTCCTGGGGCTGGAAATCTGGGAATGACACCCCTTCCTCATCCTCCTCCTGCCCTGCCCTGCTTCCTAGTGGGGGCTCTCCCAGTTTTCTGGGATTGCTTCCAGGAAACAGTTCTCTCCTGGAGGCTAGAACCTCAGCTGGCTCCTGCAGAGGTCCCTGGAGCCAGGCGTCACCGGGGAGGGCAGGAGAGCTGGAAAGACTGGGAATGTCGGGGACACTAGGTATGGCTGGAAGGCAGGGCATTTCAAAAACACTGGATATGTCAGAGAGACTAGGAAGGCGGGGAACTTCGGGAATTTCAGAATGGCCAGGAATTTCAGGGAGGTTGGGTACGTCAGGAATTTTGGTAAGGCAGGGAATGCTGGGAATTTCAGCTGCACTTGAACTTTCCAGCCCCTCTAGGACGTGGAGCGGGGAAGGCCCCCGTTCATCCATCTCCAGCTCTTCCTCCTCTTCCTCTTCTGAAGAGTCCCGGCTGGGCAGGGCTTGGAATGTGAGCGTCTCACTGTCACCCGGCACCTGGGAGTCTCCTAGGAACTTGGGAATGTCATGGGCGGATGGCTGTAGTGGGCACAGGGAAAGAGACCAAAGATTTCAGGCGGGGCTCACCCCGCCCCCCTGGGCCCCGGTCTGTGTCTGCCCAAGCCCAGAGCCCCAAGGTCACCATGATGGGACGCCCAGCTCACCTCTGGATCCCGAAGGCCTCTCTGGTTGAGCAATTCCAGGATTTCCTCAGTGATTGAGGTCCCAGAAGGGTCCAGCGTGGGGGGCCCGGCGTCCTCCAGCTCCTCCGGGGGTCCGGACGCTGGAACTGACCGCTGAGTTTCTGCCGGGGAGTAGAGCTCCCCTTCGCTGCCAGCGTGCTGGGGGGGGGGGGCGGAAGGGATGGAGGGCAAGAGCTGAGAAGCCTCCCCAGATGGAGGAATCTGAGCCCCACTCCCTTCTCCGTCAGACCCAGGGGTCCAGGCCCCCCGACCCTATCCCAGGATATCGCTTACCTTGAATCCTGGCTTGGCTGGGGATGGAGAGATGAGAAACAGAAAGTTAGTGATATATAGGGGAACGACAGTCACCCCTGAGAACTGGTGAGCTGCCCCGCCACCCTGGGGGACAGACAGCGACGGACCAGGCTGGGCTGGGGCAGTCACTGACCGTTCTGTGGGAACACGGCGTCGGGGTCCTTCACCGGCTCTGGGGGGGAGGACACAGTGATATCAGGAGCCCAGATGCCACCCTGATCCCTCATTCACCTTTAGGTGGTAGGTACCTACCAGACTGCCTGCGGCCGCGGCGACTCACAGAGGGGCCAGGAGACGGAGCTACAGGGGAAGCGGGTCAGAGCCCACCATGAGCCCCGCTCCGCCATCCTGGGGGGCGGAGGGGGCTGGGGGGGTGACTCAGGGTTCCCCTCCTTTACCTGTGTTCCTCCGTCCAGGAGTGAAACTTCTAGCATCTCGAGGTCGGGGAGATCCAAGCGGGGGTGTCAGGGGCTCTGGGACAGGCTTACTTTTTGGAGCACCTGGAGGGAGAGTTTTGGGGCTAATAGCCTACTTTTTCTTACAAGTAATTCTTCTACTTCCACACCCTCCCGACCCAAGGCCCCAACTCACAGTGCACGCTGTTTTCAAGGAGAACTTGTTTTGCCTAAAAGACACGAGGAGGAGGGTTGAGCAGGTGAGTCTCCGAGCACCGCAGGGAGGATGCTCTGAGCACCAGGCATTGCCATTAATGGGGGCTTCTACAGGCCAGGCAAAGTACGTGGCTGATGACCACTAGTCCTCACCTCAACCCTAGGAGGTGATGCTATTATACCTGCAGGTGAGGAAACTGAGGCCCAGAGAGGTTAAGCTACTTGCCCAAGGTCACAAAGCAGAATGTGGCAGAGCTAGAATTCAAACCCAGTAAGCGTAATTCTGCACTCTCAGCGATCATGTTATAAAAGAACACCCCTGCACTCAGAGGGCCTTCTAGTACTCTCGGGGGAGAGGTGTCTCTGGCACTCCGAGGGCCCCCAGCTGTGGCAGGAGCTGTACCTTGGCAGGGATGGAGGCGGGGTGGTTCTCGAAGAAGAGGCGCTGCAGACAGTGAATCCACAGCCGCTTCTCTTCTTGGTTCTTGGCCTGGGGGTGGGGCGAGAGTGGGGTCAGGGAGCCAGTGTAGGGACTCGGGGCTGGGGGGGAGCCCTGCCGGCCCAGCCCACCCTGTGCTCACCTGGAGCAGGTGCCTGTGCTTGGGAATGGTCAGGTCAGACACCTTGAACCCTAGAGGGTCTCGCGGATTCTCGCTGACACTGAGGTTGCAGCACTGGATGGAGACAGGGCCCACAGGCCCAGAGTGCTACCGTCAGATACCCCGATAGGTGTGTGTGGAGGTGCACCCCCTAGGAAGAAGTGCCCCGTATGGCAGGTCCCCTTCCCCCCCTCAGCCAGGCTTGGCTCTGCTCTCTCCCTCCCCGGACCCCTCCCCACCCTCATGAAGACATTTGCCTGGGGGCAAATCCAGGTTCCCCCCTGCAGGCCTCCCTCCACCACTGTCTCTGCAGCCCGCTGGCCTTGTCCCTCCTTAGCCACGTTCCCAATCCTGAAGTCAAGAAAATGTGGCCCTTTTAAGCCAGGTTGTCCTCCGGCCCACCCCTTTAGGCATACAGGTACATGGAATATACTTCATGGGTGGTATTCTGGGCTCAGTCCCATCCCCAGACTCACAAAGATGTGTCCTTTGTAGGTGTATTCCGGCCCCCGGCGCTTGGCCACGAGCAGCATCCGTGAGAACAGGAAGAGCAGCCGCTCGCCCCCTCGCAGCCGGGGGCCGCCCCCTCCGCCACCGCGGAACGCGCCCTCCAGCACCAGCTCCCCGAAAGCACTGAGCTCGGGGCCCGTCCAGCCACCCAGCCGCCGCTGCACTTCCTGCCGGACCCCGCCAGCGCGCAGGGCACAGAGACACGTGTGGGTAGGCGGCACGCACATCCATACACGCCAAGACGGGGGTTAGCAACGGGGCACGCTGTCCCAGCCAGCCCTCCCGGGCTTCCTCTGAAGCACTGACACCCGCCCGCCCAGCCCCCAGCCCACCCTGGGGCCACCTGGAGGCGTGCGGCGTGCTCCTGCTTGCGCTTCATGTCATTGATGTACCAGGCAACCGCTGTCATGGACACAATAGCTTCCTCCACCGTCTCGCGACCCCCACTGCCTGTGCCCTCTGCCCAGTGCTTCCCCAGTTCCTGCCAGACGGCCACCAGGCACACAGGGAGGCAAGCAAGAGCATGACAGTGACCGCGGCCAGACAGAAACAGAAAGGTAGAGGCAGAGATGGAGAAAGAGACAGAAGGTGGGCTCAGCTGGGGCCCGTCCCCACTGCCAGCAAGACCCTCCCAGTTTCTAGGGACCAGATGCCCCCCCAGGTGCACGTCTGGCCCCGAGAGCGGGAGGATGCGGGCCCTTGCCTTCCCAACTCGGGTCCACCCTCCAGGCACAGCAGCAGGTGGTCAGCGGACAGGACCTTGCCCGCCCCCAGCCGGGCGCCCAGGGCCACCGCTGACCTGCAGCAGCAGATGGTACTTGAGGATGCGCTGAACGGGTTTCAGCAGGAAGCTCTGCAGCGGCAGTGAGTGGCGAAGCTGGGCTTGGCGCTCCTGCAGCCACAGGGCTGCTGGCGGAGACAGCGATAGCTCCCGGAGGAGGGCCAGGGAGCTGGGGGCACAGGACAGGTCAGGGGGGCTGGCAGCTCCGGCGGGCGGGGCTCGAGGGGGTGAGGGAGTGGCCAGGGTTCAGGACAGTCAGGGTCTGGCGGGGTGAGGGGCAGTGGGGAGAGGTCGGTTACTGTCCTGGCCTGGCATGGGCTGGAGCTGGACGGGTTGGGGTGGAGGGACGTGGGCTGGCACATCAGCTCGTGGGCACGGCCTGGGGCCCAGCAGGGGCTCCCCACCCCTCACCTCGGGTAGTTCATGCAGTACAATGTGTAGATGTCAAAATCCTCGCTCTGCGGGTGACATGGGAGTCAGGGAGACCCCAGGTCCCGGCTGCCCACGCCCCGCCTCCAGCCTAGCCTGGGCCTCTCCCCCTCCCCAGGCCCCAGCCCAGACCGAGGGCCCTGCCCCCGCTCACCCTCTGCACGAAGCACTCGGCGATGCCCCGCGCGCCGCTGCTGCCCTCCAAGTCCTCCAGCAGCTCACTGCGGGGAGAGGGCAAGGGTCAGGACCAGCCCCGCCTCGGTGACCCCCGCCATGGGAGGACTCCAGGAGGCAGACACCCCAAGGGTCCACTGGGGCTGGGGGCTTAATGGTTGCCAGGATCTAAGGGGATGTCGTGTCCGGAGGAAGGGTCTCCAATGGCTACATGGGCGACCATAACCTGCTTGACTTTGACCTTGAACGGCATCACATTCCTTGGCCTGAAATCCAATCACAGCTGCTGTGAGCCTAGGGTAGTCATGTCATGTCCCAGAGAGGGGCGCCAGGGCCCTGGGGAGGGAGGTGCTGTGACCCCCACAGCTATGATGATCTTAAGATCCTGCTGTGATCCTGAGATCTTGTTGATCCTTGGACCCCAGAATCCTCTTTACTGGGGGGACCAACCATCCTGGTTGGTCAGGGACCGAGCAGTCCCCAGGATGAGGGACTTTCAGCGCTGAAACTGGGAAAGGTCCTGGCAAATCGGGACTTAAGTAGTCACACAAATGCTCACACTGTCCTGAGCTTCGGGCCCCACATGCTTCTCGGATTCATTGTGAGCCCAGACCTGATGGTACTGAGACCCCATCCCAATGCCTGGACCCTGTCCCCATATTTGGGCCTCATCCAGATCCTCTGACTCTTGTCTCCTCCACCACTCAGGTCCTTACACCGTGTCACGATCCCTGCCCAATGTCACGACACCCCCTGTAGCAGCTTGCACAGGGCACTGTGGGGCTGCAAGGTCTGGGTTAGGAGACAGCTCTCCCCGCCAGCCAGTGCCCCGCCGTCCCCCGCCGCTGACCTGCTGAACTCGTAGATGTCCTCGATGTTGGCGAACAGCGTGCCCACCTGCTCCACGCTCAGCCCCAGGACCCCGCCATCCAGCAGAGGGCCGAGGTAGTCCTGTGGAGACACCGGGTTGCAGGGGCACGAGGGGCGCCCGGGTCCCTGCTGCCCTCAGGTGCTGGCCCCTCACCTCCACGATGCTGCGCAGGTCCCGGACATAGGCCCGCTCCGTCTCCACGATCTCTCGGGCCACTCGCTCCAGCCTCGAGGGTTTTGCTGAACCCGGGGTCCCCACAGGCGACAGATGCAGGCGGATAGGGGGCCCCGGGAGGGGCTCTGGCCTGGAGGCTGAGCAGGCTGGGGGAGGCCCTGGGGCGGGGTCCCCTTCAGAGCCCACGGTGCTCAGAGAGGTGGAGCTCCCAGAACCCCGGGGCGAGGCCATGGCGGGGGCTGCAGGGGCTGCTGGGGTGGGGAACAGGAGGTCAGGGAAGGTCTCCAAGTGTCACCTCCCACAGCCCTTCATGCATTCTGCCCCCACACCCACCCACACCTGGTCGACAGCTTTCCCATGGCCCTGCTCCCCTCCCCGCTGCCCTGCCTTGGTCCAGTCTCCCATCAGGATCCTCTCCAGACTTCTGCCCTCAATCCCTCTAATCCACCTCCATGGGTAAGCCAGGGAGATCTTTATTAATTTGACCATCTGAGCCTGTCACTCCCACAAGTGTAACCACTTCACACCCTCAAGATAAAAGTCCAAACTCTTTAGCTCCACGGGGCCCTGCGCAACGTGGCCACTACAGATCTCCCCAGCCAGCTCTCTTGCCACGCCACACCTCTTCTTCCAGTTCCTGTTCCAGTCACACTCAGCTTCTTCAGTTACTTAAACAAGCAGCCTTTGCTCGCCTCAGGGCCTTTGCACATACTGTTCCCTGCATATGGAATACTCTTCCCTGTCTCTGCCTAACTTTTTCCTCCTCATCTTCCAATTCTCTGTTTCCGCCTCCAGGAAGCCCCCCTGACTTACCAGCCTGGGCTCTCACAGCCACCCTTGGGCTTTCCCCACCACAGCCCTGTCACTCCCCTGGGCTTCCCCCTCTGGCCTGTCACTGACTGGGGATGGGCCTGCCTCCCCACCAGACTCGAGCTTTGCCCGCGCCCGTGGGGCTGGGGTGGCCTTGGTCCCACTGCGCCGGGCCAGCCTGCAGCGTCGAGAGTGAAGAAGGAACAAGGGGCCACAGGCTCGGCCCGCGTCCCGCGCTCACCTGTCCGAGTGTCACACTCGGTCGCACAGTCACACACTTCACCTCTGCGGCCACACCCGGGGCTGGGGCTAGGTTTGGGCCGGCTCGGGGCGCGGGCTCCCTCAGGCATGGCTGGGCGGCGCGGCGGGCCTGCAGAGAGACCCGCGGCTCGGAGACCCGGACCCCATGGGCTCCCGGCCGCCGCGCTCAGTCGGGGGCTGGGAGGCGGGAGCGCAGTCTAAACCCAGGGAGGGGCCCCTGGGAGTAAGTAGCGGGGGAGGCGCAGGCACGGTGACAGAAAGAGGGGGACCAGGAAAGGGAACCCAGAGAAGAAGATGGAAAGGCTGAGACAAAGAGGGGGAAGCCTGCAGTCGCGGGAGCTGGCAGCCCGGCCGTCCGGGCGCGGGCTCAGGATCCTGGGAACGCTGGGGCTCCGGCTGGAGCGGAGGGCGAGGGGCAGGGCTGGGAAAAGCCGTGGGCGGGAGGCCGCGGGTCCCAGGGGAGGGCGGAGGCTGGGGACCGGATGCCAGGGTCCTGCAGACGGCGCCCTCCCCCGCCAGGGGCTGCGCGCCGGGGCGCTGGCCCAGCCCTCGAAGCCCTCCGGCCGGTGCCCCGCGACCCGACCGCCGCCCCCGCCGCAGGCTCCCCAGCGCCGGCCCGCACCCCCGCGGCCCCGCGCCCCGCCGCGCTCGGGCTCGCCCCGCCGGCACGCCCCCTCATTGTTCAGCCGCGGCGCCGCCCCCCGCCCGGCCGCCGGGCCCTCGCCTCCCCCTCACCTCCCCGGGAGCCCCGGGCGGCCCGCCGCGGCGGCCGGCTTCCTATTCGGCGCGAGCGCGTCCCCGGGGAGTGCGGAGCCCAGACTCGGGCCGGGCACTTCGGGCCTCGGGCTGCGGGAACCAGAGTGCGGGCCTCCGGCGCGCGGTCCCGCAGCCCCGCCTCTCGGCGTCCGCGGCCGGGCTGGTTCCAGGAGCCGCGACTCCGGAGTCCGAGACGGGGCGCTGGGGACCCGAGTTCCGGGGTCCCCTAGGCAGGGCGGCGCTGTGGGGGCGTGTCCGCGGGCTTCCCCAGCTCTAGCGGCGGGGATCGAACCGCCGCCGGGCGCCAGCCAGGGGCCCCGAGCCCGGGTCCCCGCGAGCGGTCGACGCGGCAGCCCACAGCCTGGTCGGAGCGCCGCAGACCTGGCGCCCGAGTCCCTCCAACCTGGGGTCTCGGGATCGGATCTCCGGGAACCCTGGAGGGACCCTGCGGCCCCGGATCCTGACCTCGCCCAGCCGGGCTGCGGGACGCCCGGCCGCCAGAGTCCCGCGGGGCTGAGCTCCCGGGCTCCCGGGCTCCAGGAGGGGGCGCTGGGCACTTGGCTGTCTGAAGTCCTCTAGCCTGGGCGCCGGGCCTGGGTTTCGGGGTCTCTCAAGACGCGAGGCGCAAATTCCGGGCGCCCGGGTCCGAGATTTTGGACCCCTCCGGCTCCTGGGTGGGTGGCATGGCGGCGGCACCACATCTGGGGCTGGGGAGTCCGGTCCAGATGTGGGGCGGGGGGCGGTCGCGGGGCTTCCCCTCCCCCCGGCCGCTCGGGCTCACATCCTGTTCCCGCCCGTGGGGGGGAGGGGCCACCTTCCGGCCGGCCAGCCAGCGAAGGGTTAAGACCCCTCCTCCCCTGGTTCTGAATATTCATGAGGAGGCGAGTCCCCAGGCAGGCTACTCCCTCACATTCCAAGCGCCTCGCTGACTTTTCCCTTTTACAGCAAGGGCCTGCGAAGCGTGAGAAGCCGGAACCGTTCGTGCGCTTTCTCCTATTGGTTAAACCGGAGATTTCTATTTGCATATGTAACACAAGGCGGGGCTGGCCAGTGAGGTCACATGGCTCTGAATGACTGAAGTAATCTGTGGCGCAGGGGTGCGGCCGGAGCTCCAGTGGCGCAATCGGTTAGCGCGCGGTACTTATATGACAGTGCGAGCGGAGCAATGCCGAGGTTGTGAGTTCGATCCTCACCTGGAGCACTTTTAGTTCTCACCAGATCATTATGAATTTATATGTAATGTAAAGCAACCAAAATATCTACTTGCAGTGGGTCCCCACCCTTTTGGGCACCAAGGACTGGTTTCATGGAAGCCAATCTTTCTGGGGAGGAGGGGAGGGCGGGGATGGGGAGGCGGAGCTCAGGCGGTGATGCGAGCGATGGGGAGCGGTGGTAAATACAGAAGCCCGGCTTCGCTCCCTCGGTCACTGCTCACCTTCTGCAGTGCGGCCCCGTGCCCCCGCTCCCTAAGTTTCATGGAAGACAATTTCTCCACCGACTGCCGGGCGTGACGGCGGCGCAGCTCTGCGGCCCGGGGGTTGGGGATTGCAGACTCGGAGGAATGCACATTTCCACGTTGTGAATTTCCAGGCTTTGGGGCGGTCGTTGGGGTATTCTGTATGGCGGGAAGATGCCGTTTCCGTCCTAGCCGCCAGGGGGCGGCATCGCCTCTTATTAGATGCCTTGGGCGCTGAATGGAGTCTGCAAATGTCAGTTCAAGACTTTCGTAGAGACGTTTCTGGGCAAATTGTACATATAGTGCCTTTTTCTTTATGTTTTTCCGTCTTGGAGTTTTCCAACCCCTGTTGAAAACCAAAACTGCGTTTCCTCTCTGTTTCTGAATCAATATTTTTTTCCATTAAATATTGAATACTGTGTGCCTGGCTCCATTTAGGTGTGGCTAACACAGCAGTGACTCAGTAGACCCTTGTCCCAGGACTAGACATTCTAGCGGGGAGGCAGATTGCTATGAACGTGAGAATTAAGCACACTGTGTGTTAGGTAGCAATAAATGTCATGGGAAAAGGAAAGCAGGGAGGATGGGGGAGTGGGAGATGGGGTGTGGGTTGCAATAGTAGTGGTCAAGGACAGTCTCACTGAGAAGGCAACATTTGAGCAGAGACCTGAAGGAGGAGAGGGAGCCATGAGGACCCCAGGGGGTGTGTTCTAGGCAAAGGGAACAAACAGCTAGTGCAAAGGCCCTGTGGCTGAAGCATGCCAGACTAGACTTGTTGGTGGAGCAGTTTGGAAGCCACTGTAATAACTAGGGACAGAGGGGGAGGGTAGGAGCCAGACTGCAGTTCATGTGGAGAGGACTTAGGACTTTGACTTTTATGTGAACTGACTCAGGTCTCCTAACAGGTTTCCTTTGGTTGTCCCCCTGTGTGGGGGTTGGGGGGGAGGGAAAGAGATCAGGGGCAGAGGCAGGTGCAGAGACTGGGGGAGCAAGGGACAGCTGCTACGAAGGTACAAGTGGATTAGGTCCACAGTGAGCATCATGGGGGATGGGGACTCGAAGGTAGACTCTAGATCTATTGTTTTAAAGAGATGGGGTCTTGCTCTGTCACCCAGGCTAATGTTCAGTGTGCCAATCACAGATCACTGCTGCCTTGAACCACAAGGCTCCAGCCATCCTCCCACTCAGCCTTCCTAGTAGCTAGGATTATTTTTTTTAGACATAGAAGGGGTCTTGTTATGTTGCCCAGGCTGGTTTCAAACTCCTGGCTTCAAGCTATTCTCCCACCTCTCCCCTCCTGCCTCCTGCCTCTCCAGCCAGTAGATATTTTAAGGGTAGATGAGACAGGATTGCTGTTGGCTGGGGTGTGCGTTTGAGAGAGGAGTCAAAAGGACTCCCACGTATGTGGCCTGAGCACTGGTTAGCTGGTAGTAGGTGTCATTTTCTTACATGAGAGTTTTTTTTCGTTTTGTTTTGTTTTGTTGGAAGGGCAGAGAATCTGTTTGGCTGAAGGAAGGACCAGAGAGGTCTTTCTTGTGCTTCCTGCAAACGTCTCTGCGTCGCTTGCTCTTGCTCTCTGCCTCTCCAAAGCCTTTGGGTCTCTGGGTTTCTAGCTCCTTCTCTCTCCTAACCCTTTCCTACACTTCAGGGCCGGAGCCCTTTCCCACAAGGGAGGCTGTTTCCAGGAAGAGGAGACCAAAGGTCTAAGTATGCCAGTGGGCGGGAGGAGAGGGCCAGGGAAGCAGGAGAAGGCAAGGGGGGGTTGAGGAGGGGAAAGGGGAGGATGAGGAGGGGTTGGGGAAGGGAAGGGGACAATGCGGAGGGAGAGGGCAGGGAAAGGGTGGAGAGGAGGGACCATGGCAAGAAGAAAAGAATGACTGGAAGGAGAGGAGGGGTGAGGGACAAGAGGAAGAGGAGGCTGGAAGGCAGGGGGAGAGGAGGAACGGGGCAGGGGTGGAGTTGGAGAGGGGGAGAGAACAGAAGGGGGAGCAGGAGGGTGCAGAGAGGAGGAAGTGAGAGGGAGGAGGAGGAGGGTGAGTGTGGAGAAGGGAGGAGAGGAGGGGAAGTTGGGCGGAGGAGGGGAGAGGGGAGAGGGGTCGAGGGAGGGGCGCGGCGCGGCGCTGACGCAGGGCGGCTTCCGGGCGCGGGCTCCCCCGGCCGGGGGGCGGCGCCCGCGGCCTCTCGCCTTGTATGGTCGGGGACGCGCGGCCGCGGCCCGCGCTCGCGGGTCTCGCGAGGCCGGCCCGGGTCGGAGTCGGAGGCCTGGGGCTCCCGGAACTCCGAACGCCCAGCGTCCCAGCAGGCCTCGATGCTGCCACTCCGCGGTCCCCGCGTCCCCGCCGTCTGCGACCCTGAGATTCCAGGGCGCTGAGACTCTAGAATCGAGACCCCAAAGCCTCTCTCCCCAACAGTCCACACAGTCGGGAGTCCCGCAGCCCCTCGGGTCCCGAAGGGCCGCACCCGCCCCCCGCAGCGCGGCCGCCCCGCCCGCCGGCTCGCGCCGGCACATTCCGTCCTGCCCGCCCGGCCCCGCCCGCGGCCTGGCCCCGCGGGGACGGAAACATCCCGTCCCCGTCCCCGTCCCCGCCCGCGCGCTGGGCCGAGGAGCCCGAGACAGGACGCGGGCGCCGCGCCCCCGACGCGGGAACAAGCTCTCCCGGCTCCCACCCGGTGACCTCACCTGGCCCCGCCCTCGCAGGTGGCCGGCCGGGCCCGGTGACGTCACTTCCTGCCAGGTAAGCGCCGCAGGGCGGCTCAGCTCAGGGAAGGACTTTGGAGGAACCAACTGACTTCAAAAAAAAAAAGTCACACCATCCCTCCCCTCTCTCTTCACAGCCTCTAGCTGGAGGAAAAGCCAGGATTCCAGTTCACACGCAGATTTCTTTTATTTAAAAATTCCAAAAAATCCACAAAAATAGACATTTAAGGTAACAATATATATTACTTAATATATTATTGTAGTATACTTATAACAATAATTATGCCATCGTTTCCAACATTACAAAAAAAGAGGAAGTAAAATACAAGGGAAGCAGACAAATCGATATATATAAATACTATAAAATCTTATTAGAATAAATAACGTCATAAATAAAGGGCCCATCGATTTGGAGGAGGGGTTTGGCAATGGCTTTGGCTACTTGCTTTTGGAGGGAAATATGAGCACCAGGATTCCCCCTCGGGGGAGGTTCCAGTCACCCCAGGCACTGGAACCTCAAGTCTAGGCAAAGTGGGGAGGGGCCTGTTTTCACAGCACGTGTAAGATCCCGGGAGACAGATGTGGGCAGGGGGAGATGGGGAGGGAGGACTCATTGCCTCCCTCACATATGCTACAGTTTTGGTTTTTTTAAAAAAACAAGAACCCCAGAAAACACTGCGTCCCCCAACACCATGAACACTGAGCTTGCACACTGAGGACCCGCCCCAGCGTGGGGTCAGGAGATAGGTTAATGCATTTTGGAAGGGGGGCTACTTAATTAAGAGTCCCCCAGGTCCCCACAGGAGGAGTGGCTCCCCTCAAGATCCAGCCGATCTGCACTGGGCAGGCGCTTGTCACTCAGAAACGGAGATGCGATTGAAGATGGGGAGTCTCCGGGGGGCTGCGGGTGCAGGTGGCTGGGGCGGCCCCAAAACCCCTGCCTCGAAGACAGGCGAGTCGGATCCCAAGCTGCTGCCGCTGCTGGTGCTGTCATCGGGGTCGGATCCCAGGGACTGTGTAGACGGGCTCCGAGCCAGGCCACCCAACAAAGGCCCCCAGATGCTGACAGGAGTGGCCCTTCGGCAGGAAGGGCAACAGGCTGGGGTGGGGTCTCTTCGTGCCACAGGGGTCCCAGGGGCAGCAGAGAAGGCGGAGGGTGAAAGCGGAAGGTCCCCATGTGGTGGGGGGGAGCTGGAGAGCGAGAAGGAGCACGAGGACAGGGACGGGCCGGCCAGGCCGGCGGGTGGCGGCGAGGTTCTGCGGCCGGAGGGCAGGCCGGAGAAGCTGATGCTCTGGCGGAGCACATGGGGCTGGCCCGGGGCGGCCAGGTCCTCGCTGGGGTTGTGGATGAAGTGGCAGCGTGAGCCGTAGGGGCAGCGGCCCTGGAGGTAGAACTTGTGGCAGAGTTCCGTCTTGTACTTGGGGTGGCGATTGGCCTGGCGCAGCTCCCCCAGGCCGTGGGCAAACTGGCACTTGGCGCCGTAGCGGCAGCGCCCGCTCTCGGAGAAGGTCCGGCACAGCTCGGTCTTGTAGCGGGACGACGCGGTGGCGGTCGCGGTGGGCGAGGTGGGCGAGGGCGACAGCTCGGCGCCCGAGCGGGGAGCCAGGGGTGCGAAGCCAGGGGGCGGGGGCACCCAGCCGCAGCTGCGGCCCTCCACCAGGCTGGTGGAGCGGCCGGGCAGGCGGGAGGTGACCCCAGCCGGGCTGGAGTCCGGTGAGCTCAGGCTCCAGAGTCCCGAGGGGCCCCAGCCTGGGCTGGGCTCGGTCCCTCCCTGGTCGGATGGCATGTCGGTGCCCAGCGACAGGAGGCTCTGTGGGAACAGGGGTCGGTTAAGACACCCGAAAACACAGGGCGACACCCCGCCCCAGCTGCGGGGCACTTCGAGAGCTGGCCGGGCCGGTTTGTGGGCTCCGGCCCGCGCCCCGCCCGGCCCGCAGGTAGCCCTGGTCCGGATCCCGACCGGGAGGCTCCACGTACTGAAGCCTGAAGCCTACCCCGAGGGACCTAGGGACCCCGGCCCCCCCGACTGGGTCAGGAGGGGGCCCCAAAGTCAGGGCGCACCTCCGTGTCCCAATTTTGAGCCTCTGGGCCTCCCCGGATATGACCCGCGGGCGGGTTCTCCAGTTTCACAACAGGAGGAGCCGGGCAAAGTTGACCCAGGACTCCGGATCCCCTCGGTTTGAGAGTCCCCAAAGAACTACGCGCAGGGGGTGGCGGGACAGCAGTCGGCCGCCCCCGCCCTGGGACTTCAGCCCCAGTTACGCCTCCGCGCGAAACCGCGCCCTCGGCAACTCCTCGAGCGAGCCAGGTGCGGGCCCGTTTCCGCCGCCCGACAGCCCCGCGCCGAGAAAAGTGCTCCGGCTTCCCGCCTCCAGGGCCGCCCGCCGTGTCTGGGCCGAGACCGGGGACAGGGTCGCTCAGTAAACCAGATCGCGACAATTAGGCAGCTCCGGGAAGGGCGGCAGGGGCCCGGCCGGGCCAGGAGCGAGGCAGGCGCCCGGCCGGCAGAGTCTGCGGGGCTAGAGCCAGGGACGCGTGCGGGCCCTGAGCGTGCGGCCGGCGGGGACTCACCTCGTAGAGGGCAGAGAGATCCATGGCGGCGCGAGTGGCCATGAGGGGATCGGCCGAAACTCGGAGCGCTGAAACCAGGCTGCGGCTGGCGGCGACAGCCCGCCTTTTAAAGCGGCGGGAGGCGGGCCGGGCCGGAGGCGGGGCCGGGGCGGGGCCGGGGGGCGCTTCCCGGACGCGCGCCCCCGGCGCAGCCCGGCGGCCCTGGGCCAGTTCCCTTCCGCCGGCCCCGCGCCAGGACGCGCCTGAGCTGCGCCCGCGGAGCGGCGCGACCGGGCGGGGACTGCGTGGGGTGGTGGTGGGGACCTGCCCAGTTTGCACGGCTGGAGACTGAGGCGCGGAGACGGGAACTGGGACGGAGGCGGGGGCAGAGGCCCAGGCCTGCGCGTGCCGGACAGACGGACACGGGCCCAGAGAGACTCGCGGGGTGGAAGACACAGAGACAGGGAGAGATGCAGAGAGAGACACAGAGGAAGGGAGAAATAGGCGAGGAGAGGAGAGGAGGTGGCAGAGACGGTCCCAGAGAGACAAATTCAGGAGAAGCGAGACGGGAGGGTCACATAAAGAAACAAGAAAAAAAGGAGAAAAATAGAAACAAGCACCCACTGGAAGACAGGAATCCGCAGGGGCAAACGCAGAGGACACCAGCAGTCCTTGGCGGGGACTGCTCCCCTGAGACCTGCGGGCCGGGCTCGATCTCACGCCTAACGGCCCAAATCAGGAGACCTGGCCGGGGTTGGGTGGGTCGGTGGGATCTCGACACCTGGCGACTCTGGAACGGGGCCTCTTCTCGCAGTTCCCAGGGCCGCTGTCCCCGCACCCTGACGCAGATAATGGCACTTCTGATTTCTTCCTCTGGGCTGGACATGCTTCTGGGCGCTTCTCATGTATTCATTATTGTGCCCAGTTGACGCTGGAGGAAACCAAGGTCAAGTTCCTCCCCTAGTTCCAGCTAGTGGATGGCCGCGGCGTAATACCGTGGCCTTGAAGTATGTTAAGAGGTTTGCCCTCCGAGAGGAAGCTCCAGAATCGGGGAGATGGAGGTCTTTTATTACGGTGGAGGGTTGCCTCGATTGCAAGCTGTTTTAAGGTGGAAGGAAGGGGTCATCCATCCCCAGCTGCTGGCTGGCTGGTTCTCTTATCATAGGCCGTGCCATTGTCATACTGGCAAGTCTTTTCTTATCAAAGGGTTGCCTTAAGTGAAAACTGTTCAGATCTGGGAAGAAAACTTATTTTTTAAGTGGGTCTTGGTGAGCTGGCCGCCCTGAGTGCAAATAATTGGGGGAGAAATCAACGCAGTGACAATGGCGCAAAGTTCATCCGCGTCCGCGGCTGCGGGCTTGCGCACTGAGGTGGGGAGATTCTGCCAGGTTCCACGCGGACTTGCCTCGGCCGAGAGCGGGGGGAATCCCTGCTGCGGCGCCTGCTGGGGCCGAGGGGCCTTCCCGGCCGGTCCCGTGAGCTGGGCGGCCCTGGCACGGTTGCGGCCTCACGCTCGCCCGTGACTCACTCGCAAGGGGCGGGGGAGGGGGCTTCCTGGAAGCCGTGACGACGAGCCCAGCCCGGACACCCGGGTTCCTCTCCTGTAACCAGGGCTCCCGTCTCCTGTAAACAGAGCCTCGAGGGCAACGGGAAAAGGGGGGACGGAAGGGGACCTTGGACCTGCCTCCTGACCGGGCCTCAAATCCTTGTGCCGCCTGTAGAACTACGGCAGAAAATGGGGGCTTGGGGGGGACCCTTGGGGTCCTCGGAGCCCAGCTCTGGCAGCGATCTTGGAGAAGGGATTCCAGTTTCAATTCCCCGGAGACAGGGAGCATTTCCCATCCCTGAGTCAGGCTGTCCCTCTCCCCTCTCCCATCTGCTGAGTCATCGGCCTGAGAGCCAGGTCGCTTGGGATTGGGCCACTGTCGAAGGGAAGAGGGGGTTGGCGCGTGGTAAGGAGCGACGCCCCCACCAAAAACACCCGGAGACCTGTGGGAGCCGGAGTCCGGGCGCCCGGCCCCTCGCCCCGCAGACCCGGCGTCGGGCTCGAACCCCTCCCCCGCCCCCCAAGCCCCAGGCGTCCCGGCCAAGGGGAAGTTCACGGCCGGACTCCTCCCTGCCGTCCACGTAGCCAGCGGGAAAACCCGCGGCCTCGGCGGCGCCGGGAATCCCCTCTGGAATGACGGTGGGGAAGGGGACGGCCGGGGTCCCCCGCGGCGCGCTGGGGCCGGGTCCCGGGCGGGCGGGGGGGGGTGGGGAGAGGGAAAGGGGCGGAAACCAGACAAGCTAAAAATACAGCCAGCACTTCCGGCCTAGGGGGAGGGGAACGGAGAGCAGAGTTTCCAGAAAAACAAGCGGGGACGGGAAACGCGGGGGTGTGAGAGCCGGGGCGAGTGCGCGGGCGAGCCGGGGACCGTGTACTCGCAGCACGTGTGCCCGGGCCGTGTGTGCGCCTGGCGTGATTGCCTGGGCTCGAGCGGGTGTGGCCGCGGGCAGGGCTGGCTGAGTGCGCCCGGGCCTGCGACGGAGACAGCGACAGCGCGGGCGGGCGGGGGCAGCCTGCTTGCGTACCGCGTGGTGCGAATGGCGCGTGCACGTAGGTGCCAAAGTGTGCGCCTTCGTGGCTGGGGCGTGAGATCTGGTGAGCCCGGCAGTGCCGTTGGGGAAGTAGGTGTGGGCCACAAGGGTCCCAGTTTCCTGTGAGGGCCGTGTGCATGCAGTCCCCTATAACACTGGCGCGTGGATAAACGTGTGAAACCACCTGTGTCTATGTGGTCGCCTCTGGCCTGGGTGCCTTAACCGCCTCAGTGCCGGTGGACACCCAGCTGCAACTACTGCAGTTGTCTTTGAGGTGGCATTCATGAGAACATGTGACTCCCACCAGCGTGTAGCTCTGAACCACCGGGACCTGGAGTTACCAAGTGTGTGTAACTGCCAGCAGGTGCCTGGGTGAGGAAGTGACAGTGCCGCTGCTGTGACTGAGGGTCTGTGCACACCCAACTTTGAAGCTCAGCGTGTCAGCATCCATGTGTCTACGCAGCTGTGGCCGTGCAAGGCCCCTGTGGCCCAGTGTGTGTAATAAGTTACATTTGTCTGAGCCCTTAGTCGTGCGTGTCTGAGATCGCATGAGAACGCGGCAGGCCAGCGTCTGGATGTGGTTCCTTGGAACCAGTCACACGGCAGTGAAACTGATGAACTTTGGTTCCTGACGTCTGCAGCCCTTGTGCCGGGGAGGGCGGCGGGCCAGATCCCCCTCCGCGTCGCCGTTCTGCACGCCTCTGTGGGCAGAGCAGACAAGAGTGCACACACCCTCACCTGGGAAGCCGGGGCCTGGCCTTATCTGTCCCCAGCTGATGAGGCTGCTTGCGATAGTGAGATGGGCTGAGGGTGAGGGCAGGGCTGAGTCAGCCGGTGATGGGCAAAGTCTGCGATGGGGCGGGAGATAGCTGGTTAAGTGGTGGTTAGAGGGTTGTTTGTGTATTCACATGCTGGGGTGTTCCCTTAGAGCCTGTGGGGCTGTCAAAGGGTCCCTGGGGGGCACCGTGGCTGTAGGATGTAGGGCTTTGCTAGTCTCTGCTGGTGGGGGGCATGGTGTGTTTAGGGTCCCCTTGGTCCGTTTTGCGATGGCTGTGAATCTCACGTACACACCCTCCCTGGAATGCGCTGTGCACCAGACTGTCGTCTCTCCCTGGGTCTAGTAATCTAGCAAAGCCCTCACCAGGGCCCTCTGTGACCTGTCTGGGCTTCCTCTACTACTCCAGCTCCAGGATGGTGGTCCAAGCCTCCTGTTGTTCCAGACATAATACACCAGCACAGGCCAGGCCCAGTGGCTCATGCCTGTAATCCTAGCACTCTGGGAGGCCGAGGTGGGCAGATGGCTCGAGGTCAGGAGTTCAAAACCAGCTTGAACAAGAGCGAGACCCCCTCTCTACTATAAATAGAAATTAATTGGCCAACTAATATATATAGAAAAAAATCAGCCGGGCATGGTGGCGCATGCCTGTAGTCCCAGCTACTCGGGAGGCTGAGGCAGGAGGATCGCTTGAGCCCAGGAGATTGAGATTGCTGTGAGCTAGGCTGATGCCACGGTCACTCTAGCCTGGGAAACAAAGCAAGACTCTGTCTCAAAATAATAATAATAATAAAAAATAGTACACCAGCACATTCCTGCCTCAGGGCCCTGGCACTGGCTGCACCTCTGCCATGACTGACTCCCTCTCCTTCAAGTCTGCTCTCGTATCACCTTCTCAGTGAGGCCTTCCTTCACCTCTGTCAAAGATTTAAAAATTTAAAAACAAATATTGTCATCTAACATTAATAAGTATGTGTAACATCTAGTTGTAGACCTTACTGCTCATGAAACCACTATCCAACAGAAGTCTTCAAACTATTAATGTTTTTCCATAAGGTGACATAATTCTCCATGTGCACATCTTGTTATTTGTCATGTTAGATTTGTTCTTAAGTCCTATTTCGTAAAATATTATAAATCTCTCTCCACTTCTGATCTCGCTTCCCTGATTTTTCTTCTCGAACCTTCTCAGTCCCTGACGTGGTTATGTTTTCCTTTATCACATTTACTGTCCTTCACAGGAGTCCAGGGCTTGGCCCACACAAGGCACCTGTTCAAAGTCTTGAATGACTACAACTTCCTGGTACACACCTTCCACCCTGTGTGTGGCTGTTGAATGTACATCTGTCACTCTGCCACCTACTGTGTGTCTCCGTGGTCTCCCTGGGTGTGGTTTGAAGCACTGTGGGACCCTCAATCATGCTGGGATGTCATGCTCCCACCTGTTGTGATGTTGATGCCACCCCACTGGGCCAGCTGTGCCTCAGTCTGCTTATGCATGTGACCGAGAACTGACACTGCCACCAGTATGTGGCATGTGCCCCAGGCTGGAAGCCAGTGGGCTCTGCTGGGGAAAGGGTTAGTGGCTTTCAATTGTATGCAAGATAATTGCATTATGTTAGGTGGAAATAGGACTTTGTCACACTTATTTGGAAGATTAAGCATGGTTAAGAAGATGTGTTGATGCCCGGTTGACAAGGACTAAAGGGTCAGTTTTATGTAGCAACTTAAAACTGTACGGGCTACAGTCCTAGT